TCCTTCGTCCCCTAATACTTCTGACCCTAATATCGATTTAATTTCTACCATCAATCTACTTGTAAATCTCGTAATTAAACAATCCGAACAAATTAATGCATTACAAACTACCATTACTAATATTGAAAAAAAGCTTCAAAATGAAAATCCTCCATTATCCCCTGATGATAAAGAAAAAGCACGATCGATAGTCATAGTCGGTCTTTCTGAATCTCAGGGTAATAATGATAGAGAGAATTTCATTGACGACACAAATAAAATAAATAAAATTATTGATTCTCTTGGAATTCCCACTAATCCCATAACAACTTATCGGATGGGGAAGCCTCGTAACGACGGGAAAGGTCGACCAATTAAAGTGGTGATGCCAACAACATACCACCAACGCCTTATCCTCTCTCGTTCTAAATCACTTCGTAATATTTCTGACTTCTCTGGCGTATATTTACGACCATCACAGACTAAAGAAGAGCGTCAGCATGACTATGAGTTACGTAAGGAATGTAGAGATAAAAATTCAAAATTAAATGTCGGCGAACCCCCTTGGAAAATTTTCAAGGGGAAAATCGTTCGCGCTTTTAACCAAGTTTCTTTAAACAAATAAATTACCCTGGACCACGTGTTAAAATTATTTACTTTAATGCAAGATCAATCAAAAACAAATTAAATGATTTACATTTTTTACTTGAATCCTATAAATATAACATAATCCTTATTACAGAAACTTGGTTAACTAACGATATTCCTGACTCATTATTGGTAAAAAATCTTCCTTACTCTATTTTTCGACATAATAGGAAGAGCAGAGGTGGTGGCGTAGCTATTATTATTTCCAACATATTTTCGGTCAATTTAATCAAATTTTCAAAAAAAACTTTAAAAAACATTGAGATTGTTTGCCTCGATATAATAAACGGTTTGGGACATAAAATGAGATTCATAAATGCTTATGTACCGCCAAAAACTACCGATATTATTCTTTTTGATCTTATTTCTATTCTAACTGATCTACTCTCAGTTTCATACCCTATAATTATTACCGGTGACTTTAATCTCCCCTCAATTAATTGGCTAGCTGATAATGATAGCAATAATATTTTCAAAGAATTTGTTAAAAATGCTGATTTACATCAGCTAATTACTTTTTCCACTAGATCAAAAAATATATTAGACCTTTTAATTACTAACAATCCTGGTTTAATAGATGACATTCTGTCCCTTCCGCCTATGTCTTCATCAGATCACTCCTCTTTTTCATTTTCCGTCACCTTTAAAAATGAACCATCTGAATTATACTATCGATTAAATTACTTAAAAGGAGACTACAATTCATTAAACTATGCTGTTGCTAATACGGACTGGAACAATATTTTTAAATCTATCTTTCCGCACAATTTAGATACAATATACTCTACTTTTACCCAGATTACAAAAAATTTTATTGAAAATTTCATTCCTATTACAAATTGTTCATCTCTTAATCTTCCAAATCATTTGCAAAAAATCGATACTTATCGTGCTCAACTCTGGAAGGATATACATAAAGCAGATATAAAATCTAAATTTCTTTACGTCAATAAAAGATTTAATAAAGAACTTAAAAAATACTTAATATACAGAGAAAATAAATTAATAAAAAGTAAAAATAGCAAAAGAATTTTCAATTATATTTCCTCACAAGTTAAGTCTAACTCCTTTAATATTCCTACCATACTTGACATTAAAACTAATAATGTTTTCTCTACCGATCTAGCTAAAGCAAATTATTTTGCACTTTACTTTAAATCAATATTTCACAAACAAAACTTGCCTCACCCGCTAAATTTACAAAATTTAAATACTAACACTCTTAATTACATTGATATTTCTGAAGCTGATGTTTTCGATAAATTGATAAAATTAACACTTAAAGTTAACACCTCACCCGATTGCCTAAATAATTACATTCTTAAAAAATGTGCAGGTAGCTTAACTCAACCTATAACTCAAATTTTTCGATACTCAATGATGACAGGCACCTTACCCTCTATTTGGACCCATTCAAACATTATACCATTGTTTAAAAAAGGTGACAAATCACTAGCATCTAATTATCGACCTATAGCCTTAACTTGTACCTTAGTTAAAGTTCTGGAAAAAATTATTAAAGATAACTTAATTGTACGCATAACAAAATATTTACCTACATCTCAACATGGATTTATTAAATCTAAATCTATTGTTTCTCAACTATTAGAAGCACATGATGACTGGACTAAGGCTCTTGATGAAAATCTTTGTGTTGACATTATCTACTTCGATTTCATAAAAGCCTTTGATAAAGTTTCTCATACTATTTTATTAAAAAAACTCACAAATATAGGTATAGGTAATCCACTACTATTTTGGATTGAAAATTTCTTAAGATATCGTACCTACTCTGTCAAAATAAATAATGCTTTTTCTGAAAATCATACAAGTAATATGGGTGTCCCTCAAGGTTCTGTCCTTGGCCCTATTTTGTTTATTTTCTTCATCCATGATTTAGTCAAATTCTGCGCCACACATGATATAATTTTCAAATTTTTTGCTGATGATTTTAAGGCATATTTAATCCATTCCAATTGTAACAAACGTTTTCTTCTACAAAATTGTATTTCAAAAATTGAAATATGGTCAGCTGAAAACGAGTTAGAAATTTCAGCAAAAAAATGCAATGTCCTTTATTTGGGCAAAAATAACTCTAAATTTCCTTACTATATTTCCAATAACAAGATTACTCCAATAATTTCCTTTGTTCGCGATTTAGGAATTTTAACCTCATCTTCATTAAAATGGACTATTCATATTGATTATATTAAAAAAAGAGCTTACACTCGACTTTTCACACTTTTCAAAGCAATTAAATCGAATGATCCTAATTTTTTAACAAAAGCATATACTTCTTATGTACGACCAATTATAGAATCATTTTCTCAATTATTTAACCCTTACCTCAAATCAGAAATAAAAAAACTTGAAGACGTACAAAAAATGGCGGTTAAAATTATATATTTCCGCGGACTTCAGAATCTCTATCCAACTAAACCTTCATATGAAGATCTCCTTATGATTTTAAATCTTAAATCCATTAAAGATAGATTTTTAATTAATGATATTATGTGTTATCACAAAATAATTCACGGATACATAAGCATAGGTAAATCTCATTATCCCAAATTAACTAAGTCAAATACCAGAAATCAAATAAAAATTAATTCTTCACATTCAAACTTAAATTTAAGGCACCATTTTTTCTTTGAAAAAATGGCTAGAATATATCCAAAACTTCCTAATGAACTTTTTAAGCATCAAAAAATACAAAATTTTCGTACTTGTCTAAATAAAATCGATCTTTCCTCAATCAAAATTTAAATTAAATTAAGTCAATTTAACATAATTTAATTAAAAAAATAATTATCACTTTTCAATTTAGAGATCAGCTTCTAATTTTATTTTGTTTTATTTGTTCTAGCAAAATGAACTGACAGAGATAAAAAGAAGTTTAGAAAAATTTTCAAAAAAAAAATTTTTTTTAGAAGTTCAGAAAATTTTTTCAAAAAATACATAAATTTTATTTGAAATTTTTCCCTTTTAAATTAGTTGTTGAGGAAAAGAATCGTTTTAAAAAAAAAGAGACTTCAGTAATTTGGATTAAAACTTACAAAATAAATTAATTTAATACTATTATCTACTTGGAAAAAAATTTCTATTTCATAACAATATATATTAAGCACACAAAATACCTGCCGAATACCCATTTTGCCCCTCAATGTGCCTAACAATCGTCTTGCACTTTATCGATTGGGCCACGGGGATTACAGCAATGTAATCTTGTCTGCTTTGGCATCTAGCTAACGCTTGTGAGCGCCAGTTCATCTGGTAGCTCGGCAAGAAGAGGCACGCACATCAGCCAACGCTGATGAGCGCCAGTTCATCTGGTAGCTCGGTCAGAATAGGCTTCCTTAACACTAATTCGGTAAGGGTTTTGCTGCTTAACTTGACATTGTATTCAAAAAAAAAAACAAGAAGTATTAAATTAAATGTCTAGAAATTATTTACATATACTAATCACTGAAGTCTTTGAAAATAAATTTAAAAAAAAACTCAGCATTTCTAATTTTTCCAAATTTCGTTCTAATAATACTCCCACCTAACCTATAATTTCCAATAATGACACTGTATTTTATTGAATTTAATTTGTTGTTTTTTAATTGTGGACGCGTATTAATTTACGTATTAAATAAATAAATAAATAAATAAATTATCTTGCGGTTAATACCGTCGCGCATCACGCAACCTTTTCATCCCAACAGCGACAGGGTATTTCAAAAAATTTTGTAAGAAAAAGAATTTATTTAAATTATTTTCGGAAACAAAATAATTATTATAAAATAATTTACTTGTAAATCTGAATGATAGTTAATTTATCCAACAGATATGCTATGTATTTTTGGGACGCATATAATCTCTCATGGGACGTTTATATGCTTATGGAGCACATGTAGAGCCAAACAAGATAAAAAATTAAAGGAATAAATAGATAAAATGCTCTCTTAGCTCAATATTTTGGTAATAAGAAGAGGGATATGAATTATCCCGCCCTTAGAATTTCCTTTTAAAAATGGGCCGAGATATCCGCCTCTCATTTTTAAAAAATTTATAAATTCAGTCAGAGCAAATTCTATGAAATGCCGTCCCCCTATATTTAAGCTCAGATTAATTTCCCTTTTTTGCTGTCAATGATTCTTTCCCTACACATTATAAGAAAATGCAAGCTAGAAGGGGAAAAATTAGAATAGCCAAAGAATTAAAGTCAAAAGAAAGTATCTGTGACTAGAGGGAATCGGAATTCCGACAGTTCCGATTTTCGGTACATTAGTCATTTCCGATTCATCTCTGTTAGTGACTACAGAAGGTTCTCAAAATTAAATATTTTTTAAATTCTAAGAAAAAATTCTTAAATCAAAATTTAAATTACAATGCTAAAAAAATTCAATGCAATTGTTATTTTATTTTTCATTTTAAAAAATTATTCTGAAGGAGCACCGAAGAAGAAAAAAACTTTAGTGGAAAGAATAGAAGACGCAAGTGTTTATCAACATGGAATCCCTACTAATCATTATGGACAACCCAATCAGGGGTTAATACAAATAATTAATTTTAATTTAAAAAATATTAAGGAATGCTAATTATTCTGAAGGAGGCTCTTCGACTGCCCCAGCATTCACTTTAACAACATTTACATATTTTTGTAAATGGGGGGATTGTGTAGAAGGTTTCGATAACAAAGATATTCTTGCGATGCACGTTAAAATGCATGCAGAAATGTCACAGGTCAATAATTCTTGACACGTATCAAGACATTTTTCAGTGGACTTTTTATTATTAAATTAAACTTCAACTGGTGGTTTTATTTTTCTTTATCAACCTTTCTAGTATTTTACTCCTGCGGTTGAAAAATTCATTGGATGAGAGAAAGAATAGAACCATCGTCACCTCTCTGATATTAATTTTTTTAAATTTAAAGGATAACAAGTGTCACTGGAAAGACTGTAAAAAAGAATTTCCTGCTCCATCTAAGTTGAAACGACATATTGTAGTGCATACCGGAGAAAAGCCTTATGCTTGTCAGGTACTAGCTTCAAAAAAACTTAGATTTCTTAATATATTCCTTTCCAGTATGTTGATCAAAATGGTGTTCGTTGCGACAAGAGCTATACTCAGTCGAATAATCTTGAAATACACCGACAAACTCATGCAGCAGAAAGAATTATTTATAAATGTGCTTATCCTCCTTGCGTTAAAGTAGATAATTATATATCCTATATTAAATTTTAGAATTGTTGTGTGTTTGTCCGCAGCTTTAAATTTTGCTGTGTTTGGCGTTGTGTTTAATTTTTATTTAAAAATGACAAAATATCCCAAAAATAAAATAGTGTGTGTTTAGAGAAGTAAAGAATGTAATGAGTATTTTTTAGAAGTTGTTTTGTGTTTTTTTGGATTTTTTTTTTATTTTTTTGTTTGTTAACTGTATTTAAGATGTGTTTTAATTGTTTTGTTCTTTTGTTTTTTAAAATTTGTTTTATTTAGAAAGAAAAATAGTGTGTATTTAGGGAAGTAAAGAAAGAATGTGAATTTTTTAGAATTTGGTTTGATTTTTTTGAAATTTTTTATTTTTTTTTTTTCGTTTTTTGTGCTTTTTCTTTTAATCAATTTTTTAAGTTTTATTTTGTTGTTCGTCTGATAGAAGAGTGAGGGAAGAGTTTCATTAATGTTGGAAAGAAAAGGGTTCCGTAAATGGGTGAAAAGAGTCTATAAATGGTTGAAATAATGGTGAGCGAAAAGGGTCCCGTAACTGGGTGAAAAGGGTATGGAAATGGTTGGAATAATGGTGAGCGAAAAGGGTCCCGTAACTGGGTGAGTTCCCATGGCTGGGTGAAAAGAGTCTGTAAATGGTTGAAATAATGGTGAGCGAAAAGGTTCCCGTAAATGGGTGAAAGGGTCTGGCGATGGTTGGAATAATGGAAAGCGAGAATGGTCTTGTAAATGGGTAAAAAGTGTCTGGAAATGTTTGGAATAATGGTGGGTAAAAAGTGTCCCGTAACTGGGTGAAAAGGGTCTGGAAATGGTTGGAATACTGGTAAGCGAAAATGGTCCAGTAAACGGGTGAAAAGGGTCTGACAATAGTGGGAAGTAGAGATTTCGAGCAACATGCAAGAGACAAGTGTCTGTCAAATGGCTTGAGAAAAGGATTCGTCAATAAACAAGATAAAAGCCCGTCAATAGAAAAAAGTCAATAGGCTTGAGAAAACGGTCCCACAATGAGTGAAAAAACGGTAATGAGCGAGATAGATGAGTGACATTGTTAAAAGTTAATAGTTGAAAATTGATAGTTAATAGTTGAAATAGATATTAATAGTTAATAGTGAAAGTTGAAAATTTTAGCTAATAGTTAATAGTTGACATAGATATTAATAGTTAATGGTTGAAAATCTTAGCTAATAGTTGATAAAGGTTTAGAATTGTAATGTTTAGAATTTGGCTAGCGGAAGGGGCTCGCCCGAAGGGCGACCCCCTCCGCTAGTATATTTAAATAAATGTTTGTTTTATTGGGAACAAAAGGGGGTTGTTTGGGCTGTCCAAGATGTAAGTGGAAATTTTAAATCGTATGGATTTCTTGAATCTGTATTCCCATGCAGGCAATTCTCAATATTAGTAGATTTGTAAATATTTTTTTCAAATTTTATTTTTTAAATAAATGTTTGTTTTATTGAGAATGAGATACTCCAATATTCCTCTTCTTGGGAATATTGCCTTTGTTAACAGGGTTGGTAATAAATGAAAATTAACTTTTAAATTTTCTAGACTTTTGAAACTTCGACTGGAAAATATAATCATGAAAATCTACATAAAGATCCAAACTATTATGCATGTCCATTATTTAATTGTAAACAAGAATATTCTGATCCTACTTCACTGCGTAACCATGTTCGTAAAATACACGGAGAAAATGTCTGGGATTTTATTAAAGCAAATAAAAAATCTAAAAAAGCAAATGGCTATGGACTAATTGGAATAAGTGAAGATGGAACTCCTTACGAGTTAGTTTGAATTTTATGTAAATAATTTTTGATAATGGAATTTATTTTGTTACTCAACAAAAAAATTTAAAAATGAATAAATTAAATTTCAGCATGTCAAATGATGGTGCTGGCAGCAGCAATGCGAACCGTGAAGTTAATGTGAGAAAATATTTTTTAAATAGAAATTTTCTATTAAATTGTATACAGTTTAATTAACCAGAAAAACGTCCCATTTAAAAGTGTCAATTTCGTTTCTTGGCAAAATTCTCTGTTGCGTTCGAAGATTTTTTAAATTTGTAATTAATAGTGGGATTCTATTAAAGGAAATTTTTACAAAACTTTTGATTATAATTTTGTTTCTAAACTTTTAAAGGTTGGTCAGACAACATACCCACACCAAGGAGAACATTTTGTTAGTCCCGCATACCAACATGGACAAGAATTACAACTATTTCCACCAAATGTAGAACATCAACAAGGCAATCACAATGAAGAGTATTTAATGCAAGACAATTTTAATCCTAATGAGGATATAAAAACAGATTTGAGCCTTTGGCATTAAATTCCCAACAATGAGTCCACAATGGGATTGTTCCTCGACATACTATTTTAAACGCAAAACATGAATTTTTATTTTAAACGGGATTTCTTTGAAATTTTTTTTAATTTCATTTTATAGTAAAATTTAAATTTATCTTTAAATTCCCCCAAATTATATTCATCTTGTAGTTTTTCATTCCTGATTTTTCTCATATACTAAAAAATCCATCTATTATCATCTGTTTCAATTCATTTAGCATAAAGAATTTTCTGTTTTTTATATTTTTTATAATTTTAACTAGAGACCGGATCGATACGATATATCGATGGAAAATATCGATATATCGATAACGATATTTTCGATTATCGATATCGATATTATCGAACGAAAAATTTTTTGATTTTTTCGATATTTTTCGATAATCGATATTTTTCGATATCGATATCGATATTCTCGAACGAAAAATTTTTCATATCGATACCGATATATCGAACGATAAATTGTTCAATATTTTTCGATATTACCTAATTTCTTTTAAATTTTAATATATTGGCATAGTTTTATTTCTCTTTTACATTAAATAGTAGTAACCGGCTCCAAACCGGACTCCGGCCGGTTTTCCGGAGTCCTTGTCCCAAATCCGGGTTCCGGGATCCGGTCCGGCTCTAATTGCCTGAGTCATCAGTCTGCACGGTTCAGTCTCCCTTGTATATCAGTCCCCACAGTTTAATGGGATTTAAAATTAGTAAGAGGGATATGTATAAGGGGATTTGGAGGGATTAAGGCTGTCAACGGATTAAGGCTGTCATTGTCATTGGTACAACTTCCCCTGTCATTGGTACAACTTCCCCCGTCCGGAAAAAATATCGAAAAATATCGATGTTAAAAAACCGATATTTTTCGATAATCGATATTCTTGGCTGTATTTTATAAGACGGCAATTTTTCACCACAACCGAAAACAATTACTTGATTGCTGTAATATTAAGTCTCTCCAAAATGGTCCACAATGGGAATTGTGGAATCCACAATGGAAAAATGGCAAAATCCACAGAAACCACAGAAATCCTGTTTTAATTATTCCACAGATTCTGCGGAAAATTGTGTCCGCAGACACAAGTATTGAGACTTTATTAAACTATTCAAAAATAGAGAAAAAACATTTTTTAATTAATTTTAAAATTCTTGTGCCGTGAATTAAAGTATTTTTTAGATTTATTGAATTCAAATTTTAAATAAAATTTTTTAATTAAAATTATAAAAAAACTTAATTTAAATTAATTTTTCTAATTTTAATTTCAAAATTTATTTTTAATATTTTTTTTTCTAATCAATTTTTTATTTTTTCTTTCTCTATATTGGCTTTCCACATTAATTTGTCCTTTTTTGAGGGATCATACGCCAATTAGATCAATTCTAAATTTAGATTTTTGAGTGGATGGGGATACATTTGAAGGAAAATCATTAGACATTACACTGAATAGATTGGAAATTTTCAAAAAAAACTACAATACTATAATAACTTATTTGCTTAAAAATTATCCTAGGTAAGTATTGCGACCTCACCCTAAACGAAAGTTGGTAATTAATCTGAGGAGGTTAATTATTCCAAAGAAGGGTAAAGCATCAGTGGACGTTTCAGACAACAAAGTATATGTGTATATGTTAAAGATTAGGGTTAGGGGCCCAATCCGGTATTTGACCCGAAAAAGATGAGGCTCGGAAAAACCCCTTACCAAAAATAGCAACGGATTGGATGGGACTTGATTACGAGTTTCATACGCAAAGTTTTAATTTTAATTTTATCCATACCGCCACAGAATACCGTTTTTATTTTTGTTTTATTTGATAAGCTGAGAGGAAACTTCGCCGGTGGAGTTTATTTTAACAATGTATTCAATTTTAAAAGACGATCGTTGAAAAGCATGTTCTGTGAAATGTCCTTACATTCCCATTTTTAAATGATAAAGCCTGGCAGTCTCTTGTAAATTGCCCATCCCTCTCAAATAGCTCTTTATAAATATTAGTTGCCATAATACGTCTTATTAATTTTTTTTCTTAATTTTAGATGCTTATTAAGCTAGGATTAGACTTATGGGGACCCGACAATTAGGGAGCAAATAGAATTTTAAAAAATTGAAAATTAACTTATTGCAAGGTTTTAATACTTGGTCGGTTACAAAACGTGGTCCTTCCAATCAGCTTGATGTCTGAGACGAATAAGGA